CCGTTCTAACCCTCTTGCTTGCCACCTTTATATTTAAAGTACCTCTCTCATAGGTAGCATATAGTTGGATTTTTTAAAAAGACTATTTTTTACAGCAGTTTTAGGGTCACAGCAAAATTGAGCAGGCAGTAAAGATAGCCCCTGCACCCGCACATACAGCCTCACCTACTATCAATATCCCACTCCAGAGTGGTACACTTGTTACATTAACGTACCATCAATACACAAAGCCCATAGTTACATTAGGGTTCACTCTTTGTTGTACCTTCTGTGGATTTTGACAAATGTATAATGGTATGTATCCACCATTTTAGCATCATACGGAGTAGTTCACTGCTCTACATATGCTCTATGTTCCCGCTCTTCAACCCTCCCTCCTCTCTAACCCCTGGCAACAACCACTGGATTTTTTAACTATCACTATTGTTTTACCCTTTCCAGAATATTAGATAGTTGGAAAGATTGGCTTAACTTAGTAATAAGCATTTAAGGTTCCTTCTTTTCTTTCCATGGCTTGATAACTCACTTCTTTTTAGCACTTAATCATATTCCATTGTCTGGATATATCACTGTTTATCCATTCACCTGAAGAGCATTTTGGATGTTTCCAACTTTGGCAATTAAGAATAAAACTATAAACATCCATATGTTAAGTTTTGTGTGGACACAATTTTTCAGTTCATTTGGGTAGTTTTTTTGTTTTTGTTTTTTAGGTTTAGTTTTGTAAGAAACTGCCACCCTGCCTTCCAAAGTGGCTGTACTGTTTTGCATTCTCACCAGCAATGAATGAGTTCCTGTTGTTCCCCATCCTTGTCAGCATTTGAGGTCATCAGTGTTTGGATTTTCACCAAGTGTTCTCAGTGTTTTAATTTGCAGTTCCCTAAGGTAGAATGTTGAACATCTTTTCATATGCTTATTTGCCATTTGTAGGTCTTCTTTCATGAGGTATCTATTCAGATCTGCTGCCCATTTTTAAATCAGGTTGTTTACTTGTTGAGTTTTAAAAGTTCTTTGTACATTGGAGCGCCTGGGTGGCTCGGTCGGTTAAGCCGCTGCCTTCGGCTCAGGTCATGATCCCGGGGTCCTGGGATCAAGCCCCGCATCGGGCTCCCTGCTTAGCGGGAAGCCTGCTTCTCCCTCTCCCTGCCTCTCTGCCTACTTGTTCTCTCTCTCTCTCTCTCTGTCAAATAAATGAATAAAATCTTTAAAAAAAAAAAATTCTTTGTACATTATGGATAATCCTTTATCAGATATAGTTTTGCAAATATTTTCTCCAAGTCTGTGGCTTCTCATTGTCTTGACAGTGTCTTCCACAGAGCAGAAGTTTTTAACATGATGAAGTCCAAATTCTCTATTTCACGGATCATGCCTTTGGTGTTGTATCTCAAAGGTGATGGCCAAACCCAAGGTCATCTAGATTTATCTATAACTCCTAAATGCTGTCTTCTAGGAGTCTTATAATTTCATGTTTTACACTTAGGTCTGTGATCCATTTTGAGTTAATTTTTGTGAAGGATAGAAGGTCTGTGTCTAGATTTTTTTTTTAAACATGTGGCTATATGGTTGTTCCAGCACATGCTGAAAAGACTATCTTTGCTTCACTGTATTACCTTTGCTCCTTTGTCAAAGATCTGTTGACTATGTTTGTGTGGCATGAATCTTGCTAGCCTGCCTTTTAAGCTGAAAATTTTAGTCCATTTCCTTCCAAATTTTTTATATGTAAGGGTTTAAGCCAGCCACTTCACTGTTTTCTAATTGTCCCATTTGCTTTTTTCTTCCTATATTCTTCCTTTCCTGCTGTTCTATGGGTTCAATGTGTCAAACTCCTTATTGTTTTTAAGACATACTTTATCTTTTCCCCCATTTTTCAGATTGGACAGATCTATAGATGTATGTTCAAGTTCATTAATCCTTAAGTATCCAATAGCTCATCCAATGAGTTTTTCATTTTAGTTCTTGAGTTTACTTTTTTCTTTACAATTTTCATTGCTCTGATGAGATTCTCTACTTTTTCAGTCTTTATCACTTTTTTTTTTTTTAAGATTTTATTTGACAGAGACACAGAGAGGGAACACAAGCAGGGGGAGTGGGAGAGGGAGAAGCAGACTTCCTGCCAAGCAAGGAGCCCGATGCGGGGTTCGATCCCAGGACCCCGGGACTGTGACCTGAGCCAAAGGCAGATGCTTAATGACTGAGCCACCCAGGCACCCCTTCCTTTATGTACATAAACAGCTTTACAGTTCTATTAAGTAAGTTGTGTTAATTACCAAATGCTGGGTCATTTGGATAACTTTTTTCTTGGACGTGGGGCACACTTTCCTGCTTTGCACAGCAAGTAATTTTATATTCTAGGATAGATACTGTGGATAATACCCTTGAAGGAGTCTGGATTATGTCATCTTCCTTTAAATGGTATTGCTTTATTCTCCATTTGAACTTAGTCCAATATGGTCTATGGCTGGTTAGCCTGTTTTTGTGAAGTTTTATTGTAACATAGCCACTGCCCATTTTTTTTTTTTTGAGAGAGAGTGTGGACAAGCATGGGGAGGGGCAGAGGGAGAAAGAGAATCTCTTAAGCAGGCTCCACGCCCAGTGTGGAGCCAACCCAGGGCTTGATCTCACAACCCTGAGATCATGACCTTAGCCAAAATCAAGAGTCAGACACTTAACCGACGGAGCCACCCAGGTGCCCCTCTATGGCTACTTCTGCACTATACACTTCTGCACTATACAGCAGAACTGCATAGTTGTGACATAGACCTAAATAGGCTCTCATACCTAAATTCTATGCTATCTAGCCCTTTAAGAAAGTTTGCCAACCCCTGCCCTAGGATTCACACCTGACTCCTAAGGTTTCTGTGAGGTTTCTCCACGGAGGCTGGTCTTGGAACTCCAAGGATTCCATAGCACTAACTTATGGTATAATCGTTCAGTGCTAAGTCTTACAAATCCTTTTCCTGTACATGCCCATCTTAAGTCCTCAGTGGTCTTGATGAGACCTTATCAAATGGGAGACCCCATTTCTGCCTTTCCCCACAGCTCCCTTGCCTCTTGAAATTTCATCTACCTTCAGGATTCCAACCTCTTCAACTCAGCAGGGCTGCCACTCTGCTTGGGCCCAACCTCCCCAAGATAACGCTGGAAGATGTTCCCAGGCAGGATGCTCAATTGTGGAGTTTAATGTTCTGTGTTTCCCTTCTCTTGAGGATCACAGTCCTGTGCTGTTTTTCACATATATTTTGTCCAGGTTTAAAGTTTTTGGTGACAGTAAATCTGATACTTTGAAAGCTGCTTTTGCAAAACCAAAGATCCTAGAAAACAGATTATGATGATTCTCCTCATTGCCTTTTTTTTTTAATATTTTGAAAGAGAGAAAAAACGAGTCGGGGGTGGGGGGGGAAGGGCAGAGGGAAAAGCAGACTTCCCATGAAGCAGGGAGCCCTGTGTGGGACTTGATCCCAGGACTCTGGGATCATGACCTGAGCTGAAGGCAGACTCCTAACCAATTGAGCCACCCAGGTAGCCTACTCATTGCCTTTTATTGACATTCATTGAATAATCATTTTCAGGCTAACTATGTACAATTCCCTTAACCATGCCTCATGTACAAATAGATAACATGTTGGTGATATACAACCAGGGCAGTTCCTGTCTTCAAGGAGTTGTCTAGTAAACCAACCATCTTCGTTTTTGAAATACATCTTTAGCAAGACATACGGAACTAAGGGTAATTAAAAGCAAAAGGCTAGACTTCCTCCACTCCCCGACCATATAATTCTTATTAGGGGTAGTAGTATCGGAGAAATTGGGTAGACTTCATAGAAATCTAAATATTGTCAAATGGCAAAGGTCACCTTTTCTGGACTTTTACTACTTAAAAACTACCATGCATTTAAATTCATTTTTATCTTAAGATCAGTAATTTCAGAAATAAGTCAACTGAGTTTGATTTTATGAATTTTTCTAGAGCTATGACTTTTTGGTCCAAAAACTATGCTATAATCTGGGATCACAGTGTTATAGAGACTTCACCTGTGCTTTCTTATGGCTGGACTCCCTCCTGTGAAGTTGCTTTGTATTTAGCTACCCTTAAGTCCTAAGAGAAGGTCATTCAGTGACAGCATCCAGTTGCGAAGCTTAGAAGGTACATCATGAGCACTGCAGCCTACTTACTGACCAGACATCAGACAAGAGACATTTAAGGGAGGAAACCTCTAACCTTATTTTAATCTGAGCTTTTCATATAGTTTCATAGGGAGCATCTAATTCAGAAGAAAAAAGAGGTCTCTTTAATTGTAAACATCTAACCAGGGGCCAGAGCCTGACCCTAAGAGTCCAAGATGTGTAGGCTCATGAGATTTGAGGCAGGACAAATGTTTTATTTGCTTATTTCCCTCAACAGCACAGATCAGGGGTTGGCAAACATTTTCCATAAAGGGCCAGATAGTAATTTCAGGCCACATGGTCTCTGTCAAAACCACTCATCTCTGCCATGGTAGCATGAAAGTAGCCATAGCCCACACACACACAAATAGCATAGCTGTGTTCTAATAAATTTATGGGGCACCTAGGTGGCTCAGTCGTTAAGCATCAGCCTTCGGCTCAGGTCATGGTCCCAGGGCCCTGGGATCGAGCCCCATGTTGGGCTCTCTGCTCAGCGGGAAGCCTGCTTCTCCCTCTCCCACTCCCCCTGCTTGTGTTCCCTCTGTCTCTGTCAAATAAATAAAACCTTTAATTTACAAAAACAGGCAGCTAGAATTTGACCCAAAAGCTAGAGTTTGCTGAATCCTGGTGTACATAAATAAATCTAAGCAGCAAAAGTTAAACTGTTTTTAGTTTCATAAAAAACAGATTTTCCTATTTTGTAAATTGCCACTTTTACTGAGTGGTTTTCTTTCTATTGATAAGATAAAGCTGTTGTTACCTCACAAGTGACCAAAGTGGTAAAGAGGACTGCTACTACAGGCTACCTGATCAAAATGAAACTTTTCTTTTCACAGATAAACACTACAGGTGAAGACTGGTAAAAAGAAACATTGATTTCTGAAGTGCCTGGAAAGGAAAAGCACTGGTCAGTATCACGTGGACAAGCTCAGTGTTTTCCAAAGATGCTGTTGAAGTAGTCTTTGCTACTGCTTTTCTTCACTCAAAGCTCTTCATAACATGGGCTGCATGAAATCAAAGCAAACTTTCCCATTTCCTACCACGTTTGAGAGTGAGAAGCGGCATGCAAGTGAAGAAAGCTTTATATCTGAAGAGAGATTTCTACCTAGGATGCCTTCTCCAGTTAATGTCGAAGAGGAAGTGAAGGAACCACCAGGGCCCGAAATGGTAGTCTTCGAATTTGCACACCGCCTCTCCCAGGAAATCTTGAGTGATGCCTTGCAGCAGTGGGCAGGCAATAACATCAAGTACTATGACATCCCATACATTGAGAGCGAGGGGCCTTGATGCCATAGGATGATGATGGTAACTTTCTTGAATTGTGGATAAAGTTGGTGCTAGTTTAAACACATGAAATAATAGCAAAAACTGGTGTGAATAAATACAAATAACTCCATCTGGATGTAAAAAAAAGTGTCTATGATAAGAGTATAGGAATATCTAAAATGAAATATGTTAAGCACTTTTATGTTGATAGCAATTTCTATCTGCTTGGTCTTGGATTTGAGTCATTTAAAGGGCTAAACATAGGTCCTGCACCACAGTAATCAGCTGTATGTCACACCACTTTCTTCCTGAGGCACTAATAGTATCACCAAAGAAATCAAATAGTTATTTTAAAAGGAGTGTCTTTAAAATAACCATTTGTTAATTTACACACACAAGTTATGAAAAGGATTTTTCAGATGCCTTGGCAAGGAAATGGCGCTTAAGCCCCAGTAATTAATAGTGGGTCGTTTGTCAAAACCATTTGTGTCAAGGATCCCTACTTAACACAAATGATCAAGCAGCAGAAAGCATCCCTTGTACAAGTAGTCCATCTTGAAACCTGTTCTTAACGACCACTTTGAACCTCAGGGCCCTAACTAACCACAGCTGTTATTGGATGACTCAAGACTTTGCACATAAGGCATCTGAACAGGATACAATTTACCGAAGTCATGACATTAATGTTTATGGCACTGAATTAAGCAGCCCAGTGATAAAACAAGAATTTTTACAAACAGCAATCCAGTAAATTTTAAATAACAGAAGCCCTAGTCAAGGTAGAAAGCAGAACCTGTTTGCAGTGCTGCATGTATATGAAATTTTACTGTCTCAGATGTAGAGGGTTGGTATAATGGGCACTCATTTCCATTTTTATTATTGACTAGTGGGGCAGTCCCTCTTCAGATTACTGTGGGACCAGTCTATGCATGAGGCTATCCAGTTGCATTACAAAACAGAAGATCAAACACTCCTCCAAAGAGAGTACTCGTGTATTTTTTTTTTTTTTATGGTAACAATGCACATAAGGCATTTACAGCCGTATTTTCTTAAATTTGGCTACCTTTTTGGGGAAGTTTTTTTTCTCCCCCCAAGAATTAAGTACTGTTTAAAATCAATGGTAACAGAGAATTTGGGAGTGGAAGAAGATACTGAGAAAACATAACCTGTAGAAAAATTGGGACTCAGTCTCTAGAATGGTCTTTTCGTCCAGATTTGCTACACACTTAGTTGGAAAGGGAATTATTTAAGTCTGTGTGCATTAAATTCTATTAAGATTCAACAGACCCTTGTCACTGACAATTAAAGGAAGGCAGAAAGACTTGTGACCTCTTTGAGATAAATATATATTTGGCCTTGTAAGCAGGCAGAAATGCTACCTCTAATTTTAACGACTATACTTTGAAACCCGCAAACAGAGTGAATTCTCCCAATTGCATGGACAAAGAGAATACTTTGAAGTGAGTCATGTGCCATCTTTCAGTTGCCCTTGGACACCTGAACTTTCATTTCACCTAGTCCCAAGATTTGAACTGTCCTGTTGTACTTGCAATCTAGAAACTTACAAAGTAGAAAAACCACCACTCCTGTTTCTATAAGGATCTGAAGTTCTAAGGCTAAGGAACAAAAGTCTTCTGAAAATGCAAAGTATCTTTCAAGCTCATGAAGAAAAATTTAGGTTTTTGAGTATACTAATGACTCAGACAAAAGCCTAGACGTTGCCATTTTTCATTCATTTTGTATCTCACATCAGGCCACTTTTGCTGCAAAGTCATTTACTATTTAAAAGATAACACAAAAGCCATAGCCACACTCAATTTTTCAGCATACACAGGGATGTAGACTGTTGAGTTTTCTTATAAATATTTAACCTCAGGTTCTGTGCCTGGGCCCCTATTTCCCAGGGCTGGAGCAGGGATGCCTGTCAGATCCATATCTCGCTAGAATTCTCACCTCTGTTGCCACTCTGACAGTATGGTTTTGTCACCAAGCATCAACCCCTCGCTCCTGAATCATTTTAACAGAGTATAAGATCTTACAACAGAATTATCGTGGAAGTATACGCTGTATTATGTCAAACCAAATCAGTGAGTTAGTCAATAATCCAAGTTGGAGGCAGGCAGGAAAAAGCAGCGATAAACAAATTTGTGCTGCATGTGCTAATCATCAAGATATAGTTTGGCCTTGATGACAAAACAGATGAGAACATCTTTGATAGGATAACTTCTTTCCTAAATATTGGATTTACTTCATTTTGAATTTTCACAAACAGTAAAAGAATGGAAGATCTATTTGAGAAAGAAGGAACATATAAAACAGAAGACAAAGAATTATTAGCTACCGGAAAGGGAAACATTTGTTCCAACTTACACACCATAAACACAGATGAAATAATAGTGGCCAAATTATAAGGGAAAGGAAACCGGGGAAAAAAGGGCCCAAGAAACAGCACTCACGTCAGGCTCCATCAGAGGACACACTGCAAAAACAAGTCTCCAGTGTTCTCGACTAAGGGAAGGGGCACAGTAACAAGTTCCTTTCTTTACCACACAGACATGTGCCCAACCCCTGAATCTTTTCCCTTGAGAACATCCAGGATAGAGGCAGATGAGCCGCCACCCATGTGACAAGGAACCTCAGATGGCAACTGTAAACGCAGCGGATTATCAGAGAAGTGTGCCAGTCCCTCACTGAACCCCACAACCGTGCTTCACTGCTCCCTTCACCAGGAAAAGGTGTCTTGTGTGCTCTTACCTTTCAGTTGCAAAGCCTCTGATCCCAGAGTTCTCAATTTTCAGTTGCCTTATCTGTTCTTTGCAAACGACCTGTGGTCATTAGCACTCAAAGCACAATTTAAGGGGATAAAAATGATCTTAGTTTCAAAGGAATAATTTGTGTCAAATTGCCTTATTAGTATTAAAAACAGACACATTGAATGAAGGAGACAGCATGACACTCATATCCTACTTAATATCACTGGCATTTTATGAGAAGAGGGAACTATACTTTTTGTATTATATAGTTTTAGAAATCAAAGACACATGATAAATAATGTCAAGGAATAGTAAGTTAAAAACAAAGTTCCAATAAATATATTGTTTGCTTGATCATAATGCCCTCATCCTGTATTTGTGTGGCCAAACACCATATCTTCCTTGGAGCAGTGGGCACAAGCTCAGATGTACTCCCTATATCTTACTTTGCAAAACTCAAGTTTTATTAATTCTCTTCCCTGTAAGACTTAGCTATGAAATGGTATTTTTCCAAATATTTTTGTGAAAACATTTTTCCTAACCATACAATAAAAGTCTAGTTGCCATTAACCAGTTACAAGTTCTGATTAAAGCAAATGCCTTTCAATATTGTGTACTGTCAATTTTTTTGATATAAAGAACTTAATATTTTTTCTGCATTTCTAATGAATACAAAGTGGATAAAAATCCACTGATACAAATAATTTCTTGGATCATTCAGGTCCAATTTGAGAGCTTTAAGAAAATAAATGTAAACATGTCCATTATCATGCCATCTGTATTCTAAATCTATTCTTGACTTTTTTGGGGGAAAAATGCTTCATGTTAAATATTTAGAAAATTTAAAGCAACTCCTAGATTTCAATTTCCTCATCTATAAGAAGGGTGCAGGATATGATCTTTGACGTCTTTTTCAGTTCTGCCACTTTCTGTTCTTAAAAACCAGAAATTCTCTTAGTTTCTGAATGGTCTGGGATGAAGGGAAAACTATAATAAGTCATAAAATAAATGATAAACTGAACTTTAAAGATTATTCTTACCTTGACTTTAATGTCTCAAGTCTGGAACACCCTGCAGTTTCTTGTGTACCTTAAGAAAAACTTATTTTGTCAACAGTTTTTGAACATATTTCTATTTTGAACAAAAAGCCCTTTTTATTTTCCTCCTGAATTATTCTGTGTAACAGCAGATAACTTATCACACACAAGTTTAATGTAAATTGCAGAAAGCAATGTGTCTCTATTTTAGAGACTGGAGTTTCCTAATTCCTCATTCTTTCAGATTAACAAATCCTACAAAACAACCATCACTTTCACCATAGGAAGGGATCCTGGTTAACTTTAGAGAAGACCAAAGCTGAGTTAATAATACTAGAGAGACAACCTCATAAAAACCTTTTCTCTTTGCCTGAGATTTCTAATATTATAAAAGGAACACTTCTATAGTAACTTATAATTACTTTAAAACAGGTTTATATATGCAGGAAATTCTCTGAAGCATTAACACAATAGCCAAAAAAATTTCAGGGTTATTTTTTTAATAATCTATACATAAGTTTATTTAATCAACATAAAAACTACTACCCAAAGCCAAAACATAAGGCTCTCATTTCAAATAGATATTTAAAACCTTCAAATTTTCCCATTTCTATAAAACGGGTTGGCAAACATTTTCTGAAAAGGATCAGAGAGTAAGTATTTTAGGCTTTGCAGTCTCTTTTGCAACTACTCAAAGCAGCCATAGACAATATGTAAACAGCTGAGTACAGTGATGTTCCAATAAAGCTTTATTTATGAACACTGATATTTGAATTTCATGTAATTTTCACACGTCATGACATATTAGTCTTTGATTTTTCCCCCCCCCCCCCTCAGCCATTTAAAAATACAGAAACCATTCTTAGCTTGTGGAAAACTGAACAACAGGCAGCAGGCCGGATCTGGCCCATGTACTTTGGTTTGCTGACACTTGCTCCAAAATAATCCCTTAAAAATCTAGTCACCTTAAAATTTCAAATCGTTACTTCCCAGAGATTTAAAGTAATCATTCAAATCTTCATCAGTAACTTCTTTTAAATCAGCCGGTTTCCACTTTGGACTCTGGTCTTTATCTATTAAAACTGTCAAGTGAAGACATAAGAAATGTTAGTACATTTTTTTCAGGTATTACGAGATTTTAATTACTGAATTGACAGAAACTACCTTACACAAGGCATATTTTCTATAGCCCATTTTTTTCTGCAAAGTTAAAAATTTTTGCATGTGTTCCATTTTTAAGTTAAAGCCCTATAGGATTTGGATGGATAGTAATGTACTGATGATGATCCATGGGGTTATTTCCCAACCTGCTAAGTCTAATGCCCGTAGCTTGAATACAGCCTACTAATGTGGCTTAAGCCTTAGCCTTCTTCAAACAAAATCGTAAATGAAATCTTCCTGTTATAAAACAGCTAAAACCAGAGTTGGTGTGGTTTAAAGGGAAGGCAGGGGAGGGTGGAGGGCCCAGATCTGCCTTCTAAACTCCTCCACATTGAATTGAAAGGAAAATTACTTGAAGTAGAGGGAAGGGGGGATGACTTTATGCATAATTAAATGTGGATACTGCTGTTCTGCTGAATCCTCTAGTTCACCCAGCTCTGAATTAAAATAGCAGACCACCTTTGCGTTATCCTAAGAAACTACTTCTCTTATTTCGGTGTAGTCATCATTTAGTGTGGCCACGTAGCATCCCCATCGGATCATAAGTATGAGGCAACTGGCAAACCTCTCCTTTAAAAAGGGAAGGGGACGGGCGCCGGGGTGGCTCAGTTGATGAGCGTCTGCCTTCAGCTCAGGTCATGATCCCAGGGTCCTGGGATCGAGCCCCACATCAGCCTCCCTGCTCCGCTGGAAGCCTGCTTCTCCCTCTCCCACTCCCCCTGCTTGTGTTCCCTCTCTCGCTGTGTCTCTCTCTGTCAAATGACTTAAAATCTTTAAAAAATAAAAAGGGAAGGGACTGTCAGTTTCCTGGTTGTGACAGTATACTACCGTTATGTAAACGTTACTGTTTGGGAAAACTTGGTGAAAGGTACACAGGATCTTTCTATATTTCTTAACAACTGTATGTTAATCTACAATTATCTCAAATTTTAAAAAAAGAGAAGGGGGCTATACTTAGTATGGTTATGGTAGAGAATTTTAACCATGCTTAAAATGTGCATAATTCTTGTGGATACTGGAGGGGTTTTTTTTTGTTTAAGATTTATTTATTTGAGAGAGTGAGCAAACGACGGGGGAGGAGGGGCCAAGGGAGAGGAAGAGAGAATCTCAAGCAGACTCCCGTTGAGGGTGGAGCCTGATGCAGGGCTCGATCTCACGACCCTTGAGATCTGACCTGACCCAAACCAAGAGTCGAATAATTTAACTGCCTGCACCACTCAGGTGCCCCACACTGGAGGTTTTTAAGGCTGGGCCGCCTAGCTACAGGATTCTGGCTAGTACCAGATCAGTGGTAACACTGATATTATGATCCCTGCCAATTTGACAGTTTTACATTCCCCGAACAGCATAAATAAAAACAATTCTGGAACATTCTTTCTTCAAGAATCTCTTCCCTTTTAAGCCCTCTGGCCAATGCTGTCATGTTATCTACCTCCTTGACAGTCTGCTGAAGGGCAAAAGGAAAGAATATTAATAAAATCTATATGTTCTTTTCACACAGACATAATTTTTTACTTAGCACAGATATAACAAGTTCCTGCGCTGTGTTCAGCTCAGGTTTTTTCAAGTCTCATGAGGCACCCACTCAAATTCCTTTTGGTAACTCTCTAGTTCTGCTGAAATCTATATTTATTTTCTTCTATAACCAGGAAGTAGCTTATTCTAGCTGTTAAGAGTAAGAATTTTTGACAACCATTCCCCTAATTTGCTAGTTTATTTTATCTAATTTGCTAACATATTTTATAATTAGCAAACTGTAGCAAACATTTGGTTATTATGCAAGAACACCAAACAGTTTTACCCAGAATAGATGCTGCTTGCAAAATAGGGAGGTTATGCTAAAAGATGAGACAGTATACTTTCTCTTCATTAAAAAGTAGCTTGATAAGCTCCTGTGTTATGAATCATAACTTTGATGCTGCTTGGTCCCAACTGTTTCCGTTAAATAATTGACAGTATATATGAAAACAATATCTTTGTTTTTTAAGTTTAAGAGGGCTGCTACAACATAAAATGATGCATTGAAACCCAACTAGCACACAGGTCCTCCTAATATCAGAGGTCTAGGCTCTGATCCACATGCAGCAAGAATTTGCAGGGAATTAGTGTGAAAAATGCATATTTTACTTGTTTTTATAAAACATACAGCCATCTCCTCTGACTCAATTCCCTGGGTTGTCTAAAAGGATTTGAACCCCTGCTTATTTCTGATATTATATCATGCCGTAAGTTAAGAGCATTCTACAACAGTGACCAGTCTTTATCAAAGCTTACAGCTCAGAGAATCTTTTATTCAGATAAAGTATATACAGAATCTCTACATTAAAGCGAACAATAAAAACATTAAAACATTAGATATGCAAAACACATGCAAAGGGGAAAACTCATTTTATGCAACATAAATAATGGCTATTATTTATGAGGATATGGGCTTTACACGTAAACTGTTTTGCAAATTTGCTAAGAACAAAAAATAAACTATTTTACCTTTTCTAACTATGCTGATTTTGGAGATGATAAACAAAAACAAATTAATAAGAACATTAGCAGATGTTACTAATTATGTCCTATGTTTTTTCTCAATGTCAATGTTTAACCACTTGGGTACAGGGAAAGAGGTTACAGTAGGGTTCAACGCTGCTGGGAACGGCCAGGCCAGTACTAGAGAGAGGAGGGGTAGGGGACTTGAGGGCTTCTTTCAAGGGAATAAATGCACTTTTCCCAGGCTCCAGCAGCAGAATGAGTTTTTAAGCCCAGCTATACTTAGCAGAGGCAGTCCATGGGATTGGAGAAGCAGGATTACCTCTTACATATAAATTAGGGAGCAGTGACACAGGTTAGGTGTATTTTTCAAACCATATTGGTTTCAAAGACTGATATTCCCTTATGTGCCAGTTGGTAATATAAAAAAGCAATAACTTTGCAAACTTTACCAAAGTGGAATTTTCACTAATAAAACAACTATCCTCTTTGATTAACAGTATATGCTTACAAATCCTATTTCCATAATAGCCAGGAAGAAAACAATCATCACTTACCTGCCCTAACACCTTCATAAAAGTCATGGCCTCCCTGAAAGAAAATTGAGATTAAATGGTGGATTTCCAGGCATCTTTATGCCCAGTGATGATCTGTCTCCTCCACTCCCACAGCCACAGCCTGAAACAAACAGAGACTGGACCACTTTTATGACCTACTCTCTTGATCACCACCTCCGATTCTCATCTGCTCAAGTACATTCACTGTTCTGCCACTGATCCTACAATTTTTTCACCACTTACTTTATTGTGGTCACTTTCCCTTGAAAATGCCCTCATCTCCCTCGAGGCTTTTTCTCCCCTTCAGTCCGTCCTGGCAAAATCCCAGCACCAGCTGCCCCTACCATTTGCCTCTGCCTGCTTTCGAGGGGCTAAATCTTGCTGCACAAAAATCTGTGATTGGTTTCATTTAAAATTCATGACCACACATCTCAAACGGGCATGGAAAACTGCCCAATGATCCATGTTTTCTTCTCCACTTCCCAAGATAATGATTTTAACTGTCTTCTGCCTTCTCAATCTCTACCCCTCGCAAATTTTACTCTCACCGTATTCTCAGCTAATGACTTAACCTTCTATTTCATTACAAAAAGAGAAGCTCTGAGCCATGAACATTCTCTTCTTCCCACCCCTAAAATACCTGCAGCCCAACTACACCCATCTGTACCATGCTTTCCCTTTCCTGACTACAGAGGAAGGGACCATCCCTCTTTCAAAGGCCTGTTCTCCCCCACATTCCCATTCACATCTCCTCTTCTTAAGGACTGTGCTTGAGAAGGTTATCTATCTCTATTTTTTCCCCTGGCATCATCAATGTAGGCAGCATAACTCAATGACTGACTGCAGTTCAAATGTCTGGGCTCAGATGAATGGATAAAGAAGATGTGGTGTATATATATACAATGGAATACTACTCAACCATCAAAAAAAAAAAATCTTCCCATTTGCAACAACATGGATGGAACTAGAGGGTATTATGCTAAGCGAAATCAGTCAGAGAAAAGACAATTATCATATGATCTCACTGATATGTGGAATTTAAGAAACAAAAGAGAGGATCATAGGGGAAGGGAGGGAAAAATAAAACAAGATGAAACCAAAGAGGGAGACAAACCTTAAGAGACTCTTAATCACAGGAAACATACTGAGGGTTGCTGGAGGGGAGGTGGGTGGAGGGATGGAATAACTGGGTGATAGACACTAAGGAGGGCACATGATGTAATGAGCACTGTGTGTTATATGCAACTGATGAATCACAGACCTGTACCTCTGAAACTAATAATACATTATATGTTAATTTAAAAAAAACAACAAATGTCTGGGCTAACCCACTGCCTCTGCTACACAGTAACAACGTGACCCTGGCCTAGTAACTTCCCTAATGCCAAGTTTCCTTATATGAAATGGCAGTATCAATACATCCACTGGAGGATTATCTCACTGCACATCCCAGCACAGTGTCTGACACATACTAAGTGTTCAGTAAATGTTAACTACTATTGGTATCAACATCATCTTTTTTCTCTACTGGGTCATTCCCTAACATGTTCTAGTATCTTCCACCTTATAAAATAACACAGAATCTCACTTGATTCCACAGTCCCAGCTTCTACCTATTTGTTTCAAGAAGAAAAAGTTGTGTACATATAGCCTCCACTTGTCCATATCCCATTTACTCATTTACTCTCCAACTCGCCACACTCTAACTTCTGCCCCAACACTCCTCTGAAATGGCTTGCCAAAATCCCCTGTAATTTCAGTGTTGCCATATGCTAAAGATGTCTTTATCCTACCCTACTAGACACTTTGGCACAATACTCCCTCCTCCTTGAAACACTCCTTTCTTCCTTTCACGACCCCACACTCTCCTGGTTTTCCCACCTCTGTCCTTTTTCTCTTCCACTGCTCTTTCTCCTCTAACCCACTCAAAATGCTGGATTTCTTGGGGCTCAGATCCAGCTCTCTCATTTTCCCTCTATACGATCTTATCCATTGTTATAAGATCATGTCACTCCTCTACTCAAAAATATCCCGTGGCTTCCCGTTTGACTCAGAACAAAAGCCAAAGTTTTACGAAGACCTTCCAGGCTATAGGTGCTCTGCACAGCCCTTCTCTACCCTGTTAACTCTGACCTCATCTCTCTCACTCACCGACCCCCCTTCTCTGCCCACTCCATCCACAGCTTTCTGCAGCTCCAAGGACAGGCAGGCACACTCCTGCCTCAGAGCTTTGTACCGGCCTCTGCCTGGATGCTCCTCCCCAGAGCCTTGCACAGCTCATTCCCTCACTTCCTTCAGGTTTTCACTCAAACAACATCTTCTCAGTCAGGTCTTCTCTGGTAAATCCTATCTATAAGTTCAACCACATCCCCCCACCCCACCCCTTTATGCCATATCCTCCTGCCCACTTTACTTTTGCTCCTTAGTACTTATAATCATATGCTGTATATTTTACAATTTTACCTGTTTACAATCTATCCCCCCCACTAGAAGGTAAGTTCCACGAGGGCAGGGATTTTGTCTATTTTGTTTACCTACGCATTCTTGGTGCCTCTAACAGTGCCTAGCATGTGGTAAGTAAATTTATTAAGTAAATAAATCTCCAAAGGTTTTTTTAAAAAGATTTTATTTATTCATAGAGAGAGAGAAAGAGCGAGCGAGCATGGACGTGAGAAGGGGGGGCAGAGGGGGAGAGAGAGAGAATCTCAAGCAGACCACTGAGCACGGAGCCCAAGTCGGGGACTCAGGGCTGGATCTCATGACCCATGATGACCTGAGCTGAAATCAAGAGGCGGATGCTTAACCGAATAAGCCACCTAGGTGCCCCTCCAAAGTTTCTTTTTTTAAAAAGTGGTCCTAATGTCTTTCAGACTTAAATCTCTAATCCACACCTCCAAGCTCCCACTCCTAAATGCACTCTTTCCTTCCCTCGCATTCATCATCAAGGCCTATCAGTTCTATCTCCTACACTGGTCCTCGAAACCATTCACTTCTCTCTAGGGCCACCACCCTTGTCTAAGCCCCACTACTTTGCAGCTGGATTACTGCAATAAGCTCATATCTGGTCTCTACATTCACTCTTGAACCCTTCCAACCCCATCTCCATCCAGCAGCAATAATTACTTTCTTAAAGCAAATGGAACCAAATCATCCACTGCTGTAACCCACAAGACTTCTCAACATACTCACTTCTTACGCTTTAGGTCACAGAGGAGCTGACAACTCAAAGATGTCTTCCCTTTGTCTCTCCTACTCCCTCCTGTCCCTGCATCATTCTCTTCTATCATCAACCTGTATGTTTCCTTTGGAGCACTAACCACAATTGTACTTATTTTACTTATTTTGTTTACTTGTTCTTCATAGTCTCAGTAGACTATAAATTCCATGAAAACAAGGACTGGTGATTCTTTCCACAACG